CAGTTCCTATCTGTACCAGTGTACATCCTCTGGTCTAGCCAGACTTGCAAGGTCGAATTCGAGTCATGGTAGTGGGAGCGGGTAGGAAACATTTAGGAACCACTGAAACATTTCTATCAATGCCTTGAATGAATAGAATTCAAGCTTCTGTCCCACAAAATGGAGGACTAATTAATAGGTGTATGATAAACTCAAGTGACAAAAAGGCTGTAAGCTACAAGATGGGTCAAGACCCACAAGCTAGAATTTAACAGACAAATGTGAACTTCCTCATTGACATTCAGAACACCTAGTGCCTGAGAACAAGGAGGCCTGGTGGCACAACGAGTTAAGCAGTGGGCGGCTAACTACAAGGTTTGCCAGTAAGACACACCAGTTACATCATGGGGGAAAGATGATGCTAAGGATTTACAACCTTGAAACCCCTAAGACTGCCCTCCAGGGTCGCCGAGTCAGAACCCACTCACTGGCAGTGGGTGGGGAGTAGGTGGTACCTCAGAACAGAGGTTGTGTCTGTTTTTAAAAAGAGTGGATGGCTTCACTGGTGATAACTGAAGAGTGAATCTAAAAGATTACTGCAATCTTCTGGTGTATAAACAGAAATACGGTGTTTTCATGTCTCAAAAGACAGAATTCCATTATTACTGATGTAACTGGTTATCCAACAGATAGAATCCTGTTTTCAGCTCGAGAGAGGCCTGGGAAGTGGAAAAGAACAAGAGAAGGCCGAGTCTGGACCTCGTGTTGTAGGCACAGCACAGAGTGGCGCAGAGCGGAGGCGGGAGGGCAGGCAAAGGCGGACAGGCTGACCTAACTCAGCAGCGCCATGGAACAAGTGAGCGGCACACATACACTGTGGGGAAGAGGCGCTATTCTAAGCACTGGAAGTATCCTGGTTCTAATTTCCACATCAACCCCACAAATAGACAGTAACATTCCCATTTGATACACAGAGAAAGCAGAGCGTGAAGCGCGGCACGGCCTGCCAAGGCCACGAAGCTACAACATGGTTGTGGCAAAATTGAAACACAGACTCAGGGGAGTCCAGAGCTCATTATACCACAGTTAATGGAGCCTGCCTGTGACGCCCAGGAAAAATGGGCTTATGAGGATACCTTATTCACTAAATCTTACAAGGAGAGTTTATTTAAACCTAAGCCCAGGCAAAAAGGTCATTTCAAGTAGTATTTATAGTAACACTGGGAACTAAGACAAGTAAAATTGCAACGCCCTTATAAAAGACAAAAGTTACTACATGTAGCTCAGACCTGTGAGTCCGCAATAGCCAGAACCACGAGATCTCTCATGCCGTCTTCATCCAAGTCTGGGAGCAGCACGACTGGAGCCGCCAGGGTCCCGTTGGACAGGTACTTGGAGTTCAAAGTCCAAATGGTTTTCCCTAGGAACAGAAACAGAATGATCACAGCTGTGGCTTTCTACTTCTGGAAATGGCAGGTACAACACTGTCAGCCCAAGACAGAGAAACTCAATGGGCTGAGTAGGAGACAGCAACTGGTACTTATTTTTTCTCCCTTGGAGAGGAAAGGCACAGGGGGTGTGAGCTATAATACTTCTTTCTAAGTAAGATAAAGGTACTAATGTCTGAGAAAGAGCAGCTAAATTGCCTTCAGTGCCATGCAGTCAGTGCTGACTCACACCCAGTCCTGGGCCCTGCACAGCTGCTCGTCTGTCTGAGCCCGTTGCTGCAGCCCCTGCGTCAGTTCACCTCTGCGAGAGCTTTCCTCTTTGCTGCCCTCTACTTCACAAAGCATGATGTCCTTTCCCAGTGTCTGGTCTCTCCAGATACAGGAGGCAAAGTTTCACCATCCTTGTTTCTAGGGAGCATTCTGGCTATATTTCTTTGAGACAGATGTGCGGGTTCCTCTGGGCGACCATGGTGCTTTCAATATTCTTCACAGACACCGTCAGGCAACGGCATCGAGCCTTCTTCGGTCCTCCTTACTCAATGTCCAGCTTCCACAGGCATATGAGGCTACTGAAGATACCATAGCTTGGGTCAGGCACACCTTAGTCCTTGGAGTAACAGCCTTGCTTTTCAACACTCTACAGACATCTTGTGCAGTAGATTTACCAATGCAATGCATTATTTGGTCTCTTGATGGCTATTTCCATGAGCATTGATTGTGGATCCCAAAAGGTGAAATCCTTGACAATTTCAATCTTTCCTCCATTTGTCATAATGTTACCTATTGGCCCAGATGTGAGAATTTTGGTTTTCTTCACATTAAGGTATAACCCCCACTGAAGGCTGTAAGTGTTCAAATCCTCCATCAGCAAGTGCTTCAAGTCCTCCTCACTTTCATCGAACAAGGTAGTGCCATCTGTTCATCACAGATGGTTAGTGAGCTGTATTAGACCGGGACAACTAGAGAAACAAATCCGGTGACACATATGTGTAAGGAAGAGCTTTGTATCAAGTAGTAGCTATAGGTCAGAAAACATCCCAGCCCAGTGCAACTCAAGTCCATAAGAGACCGATACTAGTCCATAGTCCCTCTTCAGACTCACGCTGCCTCGTGCAACGATGCACCATTCAGGAAGATCACAGTTGGTTACGTGCAAAGTCATGTGGATGCAAAGTTGGAGGAAAACATCACAGGGCTCCAGTAGTTCTCAGGGTGGCCAGCAAGCAGGAAGGTGAAGGCAGTGGGGGTGGGGTGGGGTGGGGGGACGGCCTCCAGATGGCGGCTATATACCTCAGTCACACCCCAAGGGAGGTCACCAGACTGCAACCTGACTGACAGGCTACACTCCCCTCTTATGTTCTTACAGGTGCCATGTTGGCACCAAAAAATGATCACACGCGCCTTCCTCCAGTCCAGACGCTATGTTCTTCTGCATGTAATCCAGCTCCTCTGGGGATTTCCCCAGCGTACAAACTGAATAAGGAAGGTGAGAGCCTACAGCCTTGACACACTCCTTCTTCATTTTAAACCATGCACTATTTCCCTTGATGGGTTTGCATAGTTGCCTCTTGATCCAGGCGGTTCTGCACGAGCACAGTGAAGTGCTCTGGGATCCCCATTCTTCTCAAGGCTACTCATAGTTCATTATGAGCCACACAGCTGACTGCCCTTTGCACAGTCGATGAAACACAAATAAACATCGTTATGGGAGTTTCTGCCTTCAGCCCAGATCTGACATCAGCACAAAGCAATCTATCTCGTCACCATTTGTGTTGCTGAAAAAAGGTATTTGCAATGACGAAGTCACTGATCTTGCAAAATCCTATGATTCGATCGCCAGCTTCATTTCTATCACTTAGACCATATTTTCCAACTGCTATTCTTTCCTCTTGGTTTCAATGTTTGCATGCCAATCGCCAATAATTATCAATGAATCTCAATTTCATGCCTGATTTCTGACTGAAGGTGTTGGTCAATTTCTTTAATGTCTTTATCACGAGGCTTCAATTTCATCATCATTAAGCTGTCTGTAGGTCAGGGGAGTTGATCAGCTAAAGACGATTACAATTAATAAGGAGCCAGCCACAAGGGCAGTCAAACGGAAGAGCAACTGTCAACTGTCGGTCCTTCTATTGCACGTTTACCACGGTAAGCATCAGCGACGCTGTGGGAGGTTTCCAAGATGACTCCAATCCTAGAGTTAGTGCTCATTCCTCAGCTTTTTTAAAAACAAAAAATTCAGAACTCCTGCCTGAAAAAACAGAGAGTTATTTATTCGGCTTCACTAGAACCCAGGGTCCAAGAGCTAACTGATTTCTTAGCAAGCACATTGGTGGCGTACTTGTGCTTCTGTAAAACGTTTTATTATGTCTGACGCTGTGCACGCCTGGTAGCATGCAGGCCTGAAGGTAAGAAGATAAAAGCCACATGAACATGCCTCGACAAACCTCGGCCTCTTCACTGACGTGCTTTCGGGGAGCTATGTCCAACTTGACCTGTGGACCTCACGTGCAACAAGTCTGGAGACAATGCTCAGTTGTGTTCGTACAAGGACAGACAACTGGGAGACGGTACACCAAAGGCCTCTGGGACGTTTCTGTTTGGGGGTCTCAGCTGAGCCCCGTCCTACCTCCAAAGAGGAAGAATCATGAGCCTGTTGCCTCAACCGATCCAAACCCTTTCTCTTGTTCTCTAGAACCCTCAAGCCCGAGATGGCAAAGAAAGGGAGCATCGGTAGTCAGCCAAAAAAGGCCAGTCTGCAGCCACATGCAGCCTACTTGCCGCACAAACTGCGCCTGCTGCGTGCCCAAGGTCAAGGCCGTAAGACGTCCAGAACTTGAAACACAGCTTGCAGGCTGAAGCCACGAGAGACATTTCTGAAGCAGGTGTCTTCGGCCCATACGTGAAGCTACATGATTGTGTGAGCTGTGCCATTCGTAAGGTGGCCAAGAACTGATCACATGAAGCCAGGAAGGACCGGACAGCCCGCCACCCCCCACGCTGATTCAGGCCTGCAGGTGCTGCCCCACAAACTCCTCCAAAAGCGATGTAGAGATTAGAAGTTGCAGGAAAACCGAAAAAAGAAAATGGAAACTGTACTTTTAAAAACAACCACAAACCCTTCTCTCTCATGTCCTTTAACTTCCGGGAAGTTAGTGAGAGCTTCTGCCACGGAGGGGAGGGAGGCTTCTTCCTCACTGGGGGGGTCTAAGCGGAGACGGTTACCTGATGTTGCGTTAAATGCACTGAGCAGCGTATTGGCCCCGGTCACAAGGCAGATGGTCGCAGCCAAGCTTTCCGTCATCATATCCAAGCAAGTGACGTCTCGGGCCTCCTCCGGGAGGGGACTGGACCAGAGCGTGCTGCCGTTCATCCCCGACAGACACACAAGCAGAGCTGCTGGCCCAGAGGCGCCTGCAAGCAGAGGAGAGAGAGACTTTGAAAGCAAAGGAGCCAGGTGAGCAGGAGGGTCAGAAAGCTGGAAGAAAATGGCGGAAGGCAGTTACCCGTGCCCTTCTGACCACGAGGTCTGAAGCTCGCCCTCTTCTCCACTCAGAGGAAGGGGGGCACTGCTGGCCCCTTCAGGCTGCCTGGGAGGGACCACCGCTTTGGTTTGTCTATGCGTCTGTCACCCAGCCCCACCAGCCAGCGACATCGTTAAGGATAAAGGCCGGCTCATGAAATGCTACATGCTCAATGCCTTGCAGTGCCTGACACAGAACGACCATTTTTTGAGAGGAAAAAAAAGTAAAATAAAGAATATGGAAAAAGAGGTTACTGAAAACAAATAAGCAAAAAGGTGGGAGGGGGGAAGCAAGAGGGAGTGATAGACTCAGAAAAGTGAGGCTGATGTGGAAGGTGTAAAACAGGGAACGCCATCCCAGAATTCTAATCACTCTAGTACATGCTCCCTGAGAGCAAGAAGGGTTTAAAAAACAAGAAAGGTCTACGTAGGGAATTTCAATAGATATTCCTGGTCTAGAGTTCCAGGAAGCAGCTGATAACGATCCGTTCAGGAAGAGTACCTGGACAGACGTAGCACCTTGGCCTAAGCATGGCTGATGAGAGGATTAGAGGAGCCCACCAGGTTAGAACAGAGCCCTAGGTCACTGAGCCGCGTGGGAGTACCAACTTGTTCTTGCTAGTTTTACGGTCCCTTCCAAGTCAGGAACGCAGATTCTCTCACACACTGGCAACTTCTCCCCACAACGTACCGGGATAAGCCAGCGTCAGTCCTAACACTGCACAGTGCCGACTCCTCAGCATTAGGGATTAGATACGATCTAAACACAAGTGACCGACTGTGTCTCACTGCGGGACACCCTGTTGCCAAGCAACGAAAACCTGCCAGAATCCATGCTCATTGCCAGACTTCCCAGAGACACGGTGCGTTCTTCCTGACTGAGGGCCTGCAGACTCCCTGTCCTCTCTGAGTGAATGTCTCAGGCTGGGGGTAGGTCGTCCCTTCCCCAGGGTCACGTTGAAGGGTATATTAGCCCTCTATGTTACCTCTATTCCTATCTTCTAACCTGTGGCCAAACCAACTGGTCCATATTGTATACATCTCTAAATATAACCGTGAATGAGAGAAACTTACTTCTAACGCTACTGAGACATATACCAAAAATGCATTGCCTTAAGTCAATTCGGATTTGTAGCAACTATAGGACAGAGTAGATCTGTCCCAGAGGTTCCCCAGGGTATAAATCTTCATGCAAGAAGACTGGCGCATCTTTCTCCCACAGAATGGCTGGCCGGGTGGAACTGAAGGCCTTTCAGATAGCAGGAAAGACAGGAGGCTGGTTGCGCCCGTAGGATTCCCTCTCACCAACTCGAAGGAGCAGCTCCACTCTGTCTTGCAGAGTCTCTGCGAGGACCGCTGTCAACTCAGTAGCAGTGAATCATGGCTCATAGCTGCCTCCGTGGAACCAGGGGCCCGGCGGCTACCGCACCGACCAAAAGGAACCCCAGTCGCTCTCAGGCGCAAAGAGCTGGCAACGTGCCTCCCCAAGGACTAGAACGCAGGGAACCCCGAGGCCGTGCTGCTCGTCCGTCCGGCAGGGTGGCGGTGAGTTAGGCTCAACGTGGCGGCTCACGAAAATGGCACACAGTCTGCGGGAGACCGGCCTCTTACCTGGTGCACTCTGGTTCCTCGGCGCAGCAAAGGAGAGGAGGACATCGTGCAGGCCGTCTCCATTCACGTCGGCCAGTTCCAGGGGGGCGAGGTCTCCGTCTGACGGACACATGGAAGAGCGCAGGGCCTTAGCAAGCGAGCACCAAGCAGGTCAGAACGGGCAGGGCTCCACGGAAGCCAGGCCAACTCCCCGTTCTGAGACTCGGCTTCCAAGAGAGGGCCGCCGCGGCTATGAATCTTTACCGGAGCACACAGCCTCCTCATTCTCTCTCAAAGTAACTAGTGGGTTTGAACCACTGACCTTACAGTTAGCAGTCCAATGCTTGTCCAACGCCACCCCACGGCTCCTTCCTACACTGCTCCCTTTGCATAAAAGGAGCCCTGGAGGCATTGCCAGGTAAACCTTGAACTGCTTCCCAAACCCACCAGCTGCTCTTTGGGGAGATGAGGAGGCTGCCTGTCCCCACAAAGATAGCACAGGCATAGGGCAGCGGCTCTCAACATGTGGGTCGCGACCCTTTTGGGAGTCAAACGACCCTTTCACAGGGTTTGCCCAATTCATAACAGTAGTAAAATTGCAGTTATGAAGTAGCAACAAAAATAATTTTATGGTTGGGGGGGTGTCGCCACAGCCTGAGGAACTGTATTAAAGGGCCGCGGCATTAGGAAGGTTGAGAACCACGGCCATAGGGGGTCGCCATGAGCTGGCATTGAATCGCCGGCAGTGGGTTTGGGGGATTTATAGTTTTGCATGCCCCTGACAGACTAGTGACACCACATCCGGGAGCCAGCCAACCAAGGCCCTGTCCTCTCTGCGTCTAATTCAGACCACTGCCAGAGACACGAGAGCTGTGATCCCGAGCTCTGCACGCTGGGCCAGTCAGCCTTTTCCTGGACCGCATGCCGGGACCCCTCACCATCTACACACACACACGCACGCACGCACGCACGCACGCACGCATGCGGGAAATGGGGTAAGGTCACATTAACTTTTGAAGGCTTCTACTAGAAAGCCAAGGTCATCAGATCCCTGGGAAGTTTTACTCGGTAGGGCTGGACCCCCTACAGCTCACCTCTGTGGGGGCCCAGGTGCCGGCTCCAGGTGCTGTGCAGGTCCCTGGGGGGACACGGGATCAGGAAGGCGCACACGAGCACCAGGATCATGGAGATCACCAGCGTGAGCAGAAAGACAGACGTGCGCACGTAAGACACGATGGAGGAGGCCGCCTTCTGCTCCAGGTCCCCGAGTGGCTCCGGTGGGTAGCCCTCCACGGTGACTTCTGAGAGGTGTGCCTTTGCAGGCCCTGCCACCTCAGCGTCGGAGTCCGGCTCGGGGGCGTCTCCCAGAGGGCTCTTGCCATTCTTGACCCCGCCATTCTTCTGCTGCAAGTTCAGCACCAGGTCGTCCTCGCTCTCGTCACTGTCCGCCTGGGTGAGGGGGTCATACTCCCCCAGGTCTGGACTTTTCTTCCCTGAAGGACAGTACCGGTCAGTCAAGGCGAGCCAGGACCACAAACGCTCCCCTCAAAATACAGGGTGACTACGCACACCCCGGACGACACAACAGGAGGCTAAGAGTGTGGACCTGGGCAGCTGTTTCTGAAGTGGACGTCAGCAAAGCGGGGAAAGGGGAAGAGGGGGTTGGAAATTCCGGGTCCCAGAATCACGAGCCTTTGTGGGCATAGGGAAACCAAGAAACCGGGAAACTGGTAAATTCCAAGACCTTTTTAGTTAGCACAAAACAAAAGGCCCCCCCACCCACCCACACACCCGTTTGTTTGAGTCTCACTAATGACAAAGGCCACGGCTCTGACGCTGGCTCTCCCCATCGCTGCTGGGCAGAGTCCCCTAGATGTTCTTAGCTCGCAGTGTCCTGACAGTTCCTGGTAAACCTGAGAACAGTTCTTCTCTGCACGCTGCTTCTCCGAGCCCAGTGTCTGCGGCTTCCCAACCGTGTCTATGGCAACAACTCCACACATCCACCACGAAGCGCCATCTGAAGATGCTCTACTGAAAATGCACTTCTGAAAAACTCCCTACGACCCCCTGCCCTTTGAGCAGGCCTTCCGGTAAACAGTGTGGACCTCTGAAAATGCTACTGGGCGCACCTCCCCAGGAGGGCTGGCCGCGGCGCAGGGGGCACAAGCAGAGAACTTGCCTTGCAGCGCACTGCACCGCGGGCAGCCTGTGTGGACTTAGCCTGCAACGTGTTCATTTGGAGGGCCCAGCGGTAGAAATTACAAGCCCTCCTTATTTTTACAAAAACACCGCGTTCATGTTTCAATAACGCCCTTCCCCCGCAAAACACACAGAGCTGATTTTTGCTTTTACGGGAAAAGAGAAAAGGCCCAGCATCGGCTTAGCAGCGAGCTGTGGAAGAGGAAGCGCAGGGGAGGGTTCCCCTGCCCCGGTGGGGGCTGCCCTCCGCACCTCAGCTCCAAGCCACAGGGTGATCTCGGGGGTGGCGTGCTACTGGATATGATTTACGAGGTAAATTGGGTGTGGGGCAGGGTGTGCAGGTAAGCTATCATTTTCCCACCTAAACGAATGGCAAAGGCTCCTCTGCTTTATGCTACCTAGGCTTACGAAAAGGTGTCACAGGAGGGCGCTACGTCCAGACAGTGGGGGAGACCTGCACCTGGCACAGGTCTGTCAAAGCTTTGGATAAAAAGGTGCATATATGTGTGTGTGCTCATATTTTAACAGATATGGACAGTACAATCAGGCTAATTGAAGAGAAAGAGAAGACTCTTGATGCTAATCTCTGTCTCGGGGCCACGGGCTACTGGCCACTGTAATCTCAGTACCGTCCTTTTCCGCGTTTCTCAGCTGGCTCAGCACATGAAATAAACTACTGGAACATTGGATGTAGCCCTTATAGGGGAAAGTGAGATCTTTAGTGGAAATAACATTTGGTCAGTAAATGTTCAGTAAAGTTTTTTAAATGAGCAATCCACAAAATTTATATCCTTAGTACTTTGCAAAAAAAAAAAAAAAAAACCCACAGAAAATACTGTCATCTGCCATTCTATTAACGAGAAAATGTCATTCACTTTCACTTTGAGAGAGACTAATTTTCTCCAATAAAGTTTTGTTCCTAAAGGCATAAATTACCAAAAACTTAACTGATTACTAGGCACTTACTTCAAAATGGTTATTTCCAGAAGATTCAGGCAAATCTGTTACAATTTACATATCTTCTCTACAAACCAGATTACTGATCAGGACACACTATTCCATGGTCACCCACGATTGCATTCTATTGTAATCATTTGCAAAGAGACCCGCGCTGCTTCTGTTTTGAAGTCCTGTCACGTGAGTTTCAAGGCATAGTGACCCTCCATGACAAAACTGTACAATACGGTTTTCTTGACTGTAACCCTCATGGAAGCAGACACCAGATTTTTCTCCTACAGGGCTGGTAGTGGGTTTGTAAAGTGATTATTTTTCCTAACAAAAATCAAAGCATTCATAGCACCCCCCAAGACTCAGGGCTGAGAGAAACTTTATTGATCTCACATAATCTACCCTCACGCCTATTTTAAAATGGATAAATGAAGAAAAGTTTGACGTTATCAAGGATTCTGTCTTGCTTGGATCCACAATCAAGGCTCATGGAAGCAGCAGTCAAGAGATCAAAAGACCCCTTGCATTGGGTACATCTGCTGCACAAGACCTCTTTAGAGACTGAAAAGCAAGGATGTTACGTGGAGGACTGATGTGTGCCTGACCCAAGGCATGGTATTCTCCATTGCTTTATATGCACGTGAAAGTTGGACACTGAAACATTTGAACTGTGGAGCTGGAGAAGAATCCTGAAAGTACCACGGCCTGCCAAAAGGACAAACAAATCTGTCTTGGCACAAGTATGGCCAGCATGCTCCTTAGAGGCAAGGATGGCTAGACTCTGTCTCACATACTTTGGACATGTTGTCAGGAGAGACCAGTCCCTGGAGAAGGACATCATGCTTGGTCAAGTGGAGGGGTGGTGACAAAGAGGAAGGTCCTCAGGAAGATGTTGTACACAGTGGCTGCAACAGTCGGTCCAGGCATTTGTGAGGATGGCACACGGCCGGGCAATTGTGCTCTGTGGTGCACAGGGTTGCTATGAGTTGGAACTGACACACTGGCACCCAACAACAACAACAATACCCGCTAAACAGTCACTAAGTCCACCTGTGAGCACAGCCAATATTAGGTCCACTCTCCTCCCAGCTGGGAAGCAATCCCTTACCGAGGCTGATCCGAGAATCTATTTCAAGGCCCTTATCCACCTCAGCCCTCGTTTCACTTTCTGGGACCCTTCCTCCACACAGAAATCCTTCCACTACTCGAGGATACTAGTCTTAAGAGCCATATAACATGGCATTTAAGAACTCGGGTCGCTATCAAAAGGTATAGAGTCTGGGGTCTTAAAGGCTTGAAGGTAATCAAGCGGCCTTCAAGCTCAGAAGCAACAAAGCCCACATGGAAGAAGCAAGCAGCCTATGCAA